CGCCACCTTCCTCTCCTTTGCTTCTGTAGCACTGTTGCTCTGTCTTTTAAACACATTCTCCCTTCTTATATTATTTCTGCATTAAAATCTCTAGTTCCAGTGGGGTGAAACAGACACTTCCTGTTTGGCTCCACTGATAATGGCTTTTCATACTTGTTACGCACGTGCTAAACTCTTAGTGGTTCTACTTGGAGTTTATTGAACTAATTCATAGCAGCCGTTGTTAAAGTGAAAACTCAGAGTTCTCGACATTAGTCTAGATCTGTAATAAACGGGACACACGGACATGGTATTCAGACGAGTCAGACAATGGGAAGTTTCAATATGTTTAATGACAAATAAAACAAATGGACCGCAGCGCCTGCAGGAGGGGGGTGGGGCACAGCCTAATCACTGACACTCTGGAGGAAGAACCACACGTAAGTTACCACGATCATCTGACAGGAGATGATTATCCAAGTCAGTCACTGACCTGCAGAGATGGCAAAAGTACTCACTTTCCATACTTGAGTAAAAGTACAGATACTTGTGTTAAAAAATACTCTGGTAAAAGTTGAAGTACTGATTAAATTTCTTTACTCAAGTAAAAGTAACAAAGTACAGGCTTGTAAATTTACTTAAAGTATAAAAGTAAAAGTAGAAACCACTTTTTTCATGCCGTTGCCTACATTTTAAATGGATGTCTGCCAATAGGACTAGATCTCCGTTGTGTTCATTTTCAATCATCTCGTCGTCCATGCTACTATGCTAACGCCACCGCCACCAAGCTGCAATGATTAGCCGTGAATGAATACCGCCGAATCTGTCGATTCATCTTGTAGTGGTGCGTCAAATGCAACGTAGATTCCCATCCAATTAGATTGAATTTGGTATTGATGACGTGAAAAATAATAACAGTAACTCCATTGAAATGATTCAAAACTAAAGTAACGAGCCAAATTTTTTAAAATGTAAGGAGTAGAAAGTACAGATATTTGTTTAAAAATGTAAGGAGTAGAAGTAAAAAGTCGCCATAAAAATAAGTAGTAAAGTAAAGTATAAATATCAGAAAAATCTACTTGAGTACAGTAACGAAGTATTTGTACTTCGTTACTTCCCATCTCTGCTGACCTGGTTTAACAGTTCAGTCCATCCTCTCCGAGGAAGGCAAGACTCAGCCGATGGATTGGCAAACGAGATGCAGCTCAGAGCCGTATAAAGTCTCCCCGATGCAGCAACCCCAATAAGCAGACAGGAGACCGTACTGTAGCCCGACCAGGGGTTCCAATCTGAATGTGAACAGACGGATCCAGGGTTTAAGGAATCATCAAAGCGTGAAGGCAGGTATAGAGTTCTATGAGTCCAGCAGCGAGCAGACACACTCATTTGCAGATAGACAAACGCCCAACCCTCTAAATCCAAAACTGAATCCAAATCTAAACTAAAACTCATCACAAGCCTTAATTACTGACAAGACAACATAAAACGAACAAACTAATACACCAGTAAACTAAGTTTGACAAATAATGATATGCCCCCTATAGCTGGGCCCCGAAAAACCTTTAATTAAGTCTTTAATTTATTCATTTATTTATTTATTTTTAAAATAAAGCAGTATTATGTCTATAGATTGCACTTATTTAAGTCTGCCCTGTGTTTGATTATCCTCTCCCAGACTCTTCACCTTTTCTTTCTGTTCTGTATCTTCAGAGGTAATTACCTCATTACCTCTTGGTGTTCATCCCTCACCTGCTTTCCCCCCTGCTAAGCTAAAATGATAAAGTATTTATTGTGGATGATTGAATGTTATAATTGATGGTGCATTTCATTCTAAATGCCCTTTGCAGTTTTACTGAGTTATACCTTTCACAGGGTTTTAGGTCTATATTTGAAACAGTTCTGTGATTGATGGGCAGTACGCAGCTTTGCAAAGTGCCATGAGACGAGCATCTATTGCTGCAGTTTTGAGTCTGGTTTAATGTCAGCTCTTTTATCTGCAAATATTCTATGTCTCTGTTGCACAAGTGGCAATGGCTTCTGAAAAACTCCATAAAGCAAATGCCTGTGTTCATGTTCCCTCATTTGATAAAGAATCACCGGTTATGGAAAGGTCACAAAATGGTTATCATTATCTGAGAAAAAAATAAGAATAATAAGAATAATTTAATGATTATAAAGTGTTATGTGTAAATAAATATGTTATAAATCTGTAAATTTGTTAGGTCAGATATGAACATTCTTTTGGATATTTGAAAAAAAAAAAAAAAGACTAAAATAGTTGCAGAGCCGTAAGACCTAATGCAGACATTATATGTGAAACAAGCTAAAGGGAATAAACAGGTGAAGTAAGGAAACAGTTTAGACAGAACTAAGATTTGAGACTCAGTGAAGCAGAGCAGACTGCATATTAAGTCAATTTCCACATGTTAGACTTGCAGCTTCCTCACCAGGGAAAGGGTAAAGCAAAGGTTCAAACAGCCAGAGGCAAGGAGCGGTATGCAAACAAACGAAGGCTTCATGCTGCACAGCGTTTAAATCTGGGCTGTGTTTCATTGCTCTCTAACACACACGCCTCTGTGTTGATCAGGAGATATTGATTAAACTGACATTTATTAAAAACTCGCATTTCCAGGGACATTTTTCTGAACGGCAGACTGAGTACACTTTAGAACTAATTAGTTGTTTAATGTTATTTATTGTTTTTCTCGTTATGTTCCGCACAGATTCACTCTGAGAACCATTCAAAACCCTTAGAAATCATGCTTTTTTATTAACATACAATTAGAGATTAACATGCATCTCTAGAATGTGGAATCGGTATCACTATAAAGCTCTGGGATCACAGATTTTGACACTGAAGTATCGTATTTTATTTTTCAAGTGGCCAAAAGGAGCACCTCAGGAACTGTTTTCTTACCATTTCTTTTTACTCTTTACACCACATACAGTAGCAGCCATTCAAAATGGCCCTTCCCAGTCAAACGGCAGTCGCATGGCAGCCCACTCCTGCAGCTCCCAGCAAAATCTTCTCCATCTTCCATCCACTGACCTTTTCCTAGACGTGCTTTTTTTTTTACTCTGCCTCCACCCTTTCACTGAATTACAGGGTCTGACCAGTAAAAAAACACTTCTCTTAAGTGATTAATGTCAACAAATCATGACAGAAAGAATATTTTAGCACAAAGATTGATGTTTAAAAAGGAATAGTAGAGGACCAGCCCATCAAGGAAAGTGGGAAAATTTTGAATGGCTCCTTCTGTATTTCCAGTAACGGAATGACTTGGTTGGATTTGCTTGCAGTTAATGTTATGATTTTATCATTGCAAGCAAAGGGTTTTGTACATGGACATTTAAAAAAATACAATCCACAAATTAAACTTTGAAAGCATTTTGATTGATAAAAAGGTTCTGAGAGTAAATCTTCTGATTTCTCAGATTTTATTTTTTCAAATTATGCTGGTTTTCAAATTACTCTTTTTCAGACTCTGAGTTACAGATTGCATTCTTTTTTAAATTCTCCTCACTAATTTGGGAAGCTTTCCTCTGGAGCAACGTTTGTATTTGTCAAAGTGCTTGTCAAGAGCGAGTGTTTGTGTCGGGCTTAAAGTGAAGAGAATGCAATCTGTAAAAATAAAGTTGAAAATGAGGGATTTTTAAAAGTCTGAAAAAGAGACAATTGAAAAAGATTAATATATAAAATCTAAAAAAAAAAACTTGAAAACAGGAAATCTGAGAAAACAGCAAAGTTTCTTGCAAAACCTTTTTTTAAATTCAGAAGTTTTTCAAAGTTCATTTGTTTAATTGGATTGTTTTTTTTTATTTTTTGTGGGTTTTTTCACATTTCTATATACAAAGTGTGTTGTTTGTCTGCAACAATAATTGAACAAAAGGTACTCCATTGTTTGAAGATATAAAGTGTGTCAATGACGGACAAAGACTTACTGTAATACAAAGTTCTGGTGAACGACTTTACAAAGTGTTGAATGTAAAGTAAACCAATTAGATATTTTTGGTGATTTCAGGACAAACTAAATGTTACCAACAGAGAAAAGATAGAAACCCGCCTGGCTGAGCTTACAGGGCTTATTACTTGCAGCCAGTAGTTCAACAAGTAAAGCTCAGTTTGTAGAGCATGCAGATGCAGCCACATTTCTGGAGGAAAAAAAGGATAGAAATTGAACTTTCCTGATCTCACAATAGGGAAATTAACCCATCGCCTTGGGGAGCAGTGGGCTGCCATTGTGCGGCACCCAGGGAACAGTGTGGGGTTGCTCAGGGATAAAAGCACTGAAATAAGCATGACTCTTTGTCTCTTTCTCTTTAAGAAAATTAGACCCTTCGATGTCTGTAGAAAAATGGAAAGAGGTTAACAAAGGTCAACAAGCTAGTTACGTTCTGGGACTGTAGCTGCGCCTCTGAAGAGGACTGTGGTAAAAAGGTTGCTGCAACAATACAAACTCTAATGGATGACCATGAACAATCACATCAAAAACACAATTCAACCAACTGCCATTATCTGCCAAGATCTATGGATCCGCCACCCACAGATCATGGTTGAATAATTTTACATTGTGACACAGAACAGCTTCAGTCAGGAGCTTCATTGGATTTGCTGCAATAAAGACCTTCCTGCGATTAAACATGTGTTATTAACCTGAACTGACTTTCTCTCCAATAAAACAGAGCTGAATATGTTTGGAATTAGGATCCACTGACCTACAACAGCCGTTTTCTGATTATAGGTTGTTGTGTTTTTTTGTAGCAGCGCCAGTTGTGTGACTCCGTTTGGAAAATGCCAGCTTCTAAGAAATATGTGCTCACCACCATTCATGTTGCTTCCTTAAAAGCCTGCTTTATAGTTAGTGCATTCATGTATAATTAGCTGTCTCCTTTCAAGCCTATGATTTCAGAAATTTTGTTTGAAAACACACCAGGGTATTTTTTGTCCAGGTTGTACAATTCCTCACATCTGAACAAAAGGAAAAATAATTTTTGTTTTTTTTTTTGTTTTTTTCTACCAGGTGTCGAGAAGGCTACCAAGGGATCCGGTGTGACCAGTTCCTCCCCAAGACAGATTCCATACTGTCAGACCCAAGTAAGACTCTTCTTTCAAGTCTGTATAAAAGAAAAAAAAAAAAACATTTAAACATCTAAATAACAGAAAGCAGGAAAAAAAGGCAACCAGAAAACCAAAAAATGTCGCACTAGTGTATTTGGAAACCCTGAAAACACGGACTTCTCACTTCTTCCATGTGAAAGCAGCTTGACAGCTGTTATGGCAGCACTTAGTCAGATAAATGGTATGATGGTATAAATAGAGAACCGTTGTGTTCGTTGCTTTTCACTGTTTAATCGGCTTGCATTTACGCAAATGCATATGATGTTTTTTTTTAAAGAATAATGACTCATCTCAGCAGCAAACGAGTCAGGAAGAAATTTCTCTCACTACTGTCTAAGCAAAAAGCACGGCATTAAAGCATAATTCCACATTTTAAAGCCTTTTAAACATGTTTTATGTTATGTATAATTGTGTCGCATTGCAAATACAAACCTGATGTTTCTAACTGGGATTTCATCTGATAATAGTGCATACTACTGAAATGTAAGGATCGTTATACTTTAAAAAGTGTATTTTTAAGAAATAAAAGTGTTAAAATGTATTTCTTTGGAGTGAATGATTTGGAGATAACATTTTGGTGTGTGTCTTTAGCTGTTTTGCACATTTAGAGACTGAATTTTTTTGCTAAATTCATCCAGATTTCATTAGTGCAACAGTGAGCACCACTTTTCACGTCCTGCCAAGTTTTTGACTTTGATTGGACCAGTTTAACACATTGAATATTCTCCAATCTATAATGTTCCATTGTAGCTCCAGCTGTATGCTAAGGGAGATGTGTAGCAGCAGCATTAGACATGTTTCCAAAAATCACCCACTGTCATTTTCAATCAACGTACACCTGCTCTGTGTGTCACCAGCTACGCTTCCGGGCAAGGCGCCCAGAGATCCTTTTAAAACCTTCTCTGTTCAGAAATTCTGCTATCCACTGGTGGAGCTTAGTGCCAGTTCAGTTTTAGTACATGTTAGGATGTCATGTCTAATGTGTTTAAACATGAGGCGTTTCTAATCCTTTATAGGGTGAAACATTAGTGCTAATTACTTGATGGTAATGTGTGGTGTTAGTTTCCCACATATATACATTTTTGAACAGTTCTGTTTTAGTTTCTTCTGACCACAGCAGAGGTTTGTTAACCCTGTTTTTTAGGAGCTGCTGTCCTGCAGATAATTGGTGTTTCTCTGTCTTTATACTCCTAAACTAAATGAGTAGCTGATTCATAGGATCTTAATGGCTGCTGCAGAGTTTAGGCAATCATTTAAACCAGGGGTGCTGCAGCACAGAAATGTATAAAATGTAAAAGAATAGAATAAAACAGAAAATCCCTTTCTTGTCCCACAATGGGGACATTTTGGTGTTATAGCAGCAAAAGGGATTGTAGCAAAAGTAGTCACACAAATGTGGACCTTAGAAAAAGTGTATAAAATTGACACAATAGTGAAGAGTAAAAAAAATTGTACTGTAAAGTGTCTTAGAGTATAAATACTGTGCACCTGGAGAATAAATAATTAATATACAGCGGGTTCGAAGAGGTTTCTGAGGACCAGGATTAAGAAATCCTGCACATCTATATGTTGGCTGGGTTATCCTGTGGGTTTTAAGTTCTGACACCATTTCTGATGCATTTCACAGGACTTTTTAAATCCCCACACCTTGGGATGAGATTGTAAGTTCGCAAAGACATCTTTGACTGTTTTCATTTCAAAGTTCTCTAGAAGAAATAATAATAATCTCCAACAACTACATTCAGGTTAATTCTGTCGAAAGATGTAAAAGGTTTATGACCCCATTTGTTTGGGGGGCTTTTATGACCAAGATGGCAGCACAGATAACTGATGCAGTTCTAGGCTCTGTATAAACCTAAATCATCCAGAAATGTGTCATAGGTGGCCACTGAAACTAAAGGCCATCATTTCAGGGTTTGAATCTACTATTGTGGTAAACCTGCCTGTAGAAATCATAAAGACTTTAGTAAACACCTACTCAGATCTTGGTTTATTGTGTGATTTTTACGTCACTGGCTGTGCATAATGGGATGCTAAACAACAATTTACACTGGCAAGTGGGGTGGCCAGTGGGGTGGCCAGGGCATTGCACAGGGTGGCCGTGGCGCCACTGTTTCCAGCTCCTTCATACATTTTGTGCCTTTTTCCAGAGGATACTTGAACAAAGACGATCTTTAGTGATTTCTATAGTTGTAAAATCCTGGAAATCCTCAAGCGATCTGTTATTGCTCTGCTGCAGCTGGTGTAGAGCAACTAAATAAAAGGCTCTTAGGCGTTGCGCTGCCATTTTAAACTGGTGTTTTAGAAAAAAGTAACGATTATGACACTTTGCTAGTTATAAGTCTTTGTTCTTGACCTCAAATTGATCTGGTTAACGATTTTTTTGGTTTAACACAAAAAAATACCAAAAAATGTAATGAAAGTTTGCGTTTGAAATATGACAAAAGCTACTTAACCTCTTAAGATCAACCTAATTTTGGGTAATCCTCGCCTATTTTGCATACCCAAATGGAAAAGCAAATAACTGAGGAAGTGTAAGCCCAAATTACATGTGCAATACATTATTTAAAAGCTAACACCCTCTAGTTTCCTAATATATAAATTAACATTGGGTGGGTAGAACACAGACCAACCTGCATCAGTTCAAACATGACTCAAAGTTGTTGTTTTTCATTCTCGGAATTGATAGGTCTTTTTAGAACAGCATTAATAAAGACATTCTTGAGAAAATGCAGGTTTTATTGTATTATATTTGTTCTACATCATGTCAACCACAAATGCAGAAAATGTCAGACCTCTTGCTATAACAGTTCCAGAGCTGTGGGGTTTGAAACTTTTGGTGTCAGCTTGGAGCTGCAAGCAATGGCTCCACCTGCTGGTAAAAATTTTACCGGTGGAATTTTATGCATTCTGAGTTACTACCCCCCACTTAAAGGAATAGTACACCCAAAACATGATTAGCCTTCATTTTCTACTCACCCCCATGCTGAACAACACCCTGGAGTACTTTTTTGATATCTCAAATGCATCTGGAGATCTGGGAGGCTTCTTGCTGTCTGCTGACATTCACATAATGGAGGTCTATGGTGACCGAGACAGAAAGGTCCATAAAAGTCCACAAAAAACGTGTCAATATTCCTCCATACTGCTCATCCAATGTATTCCAAGTGTCCTGAGTGGGTAGCGTCCAGAATTTACTCAAAACGAAGTCATTTAGAATGATTTTAGAGCATAAACAGTAGTGTATAGGATTTCCTGAAAGCGCGCGCCTGCGCGTTCACGACGCTACGGAAGCCGGCAGACCAAACCAGACGAAAGTGCGCATTCAGCGTCTGCTCTGCCAATAATGCAAGCGTAGAAGAAGAAATGTGCTGTTTACCTGTGCAAAGAAAGAAACAAATAAAGAAAAATGTCTGAGGACTTCAGTGTTGAGGAAGAGCAGGAGTTCTTTGCCGAGCTGAATGCGCACTTTCATCTGGTTTGGTCTGCCGCGGTTTCCGTAGCGTCGTGAACGCGCTTTTAGGAAATCCTATACACTACTGTTTATGCTCTAAAATCATTCTAAATGACTTCGTTTCGAGTAAATTCTGGATGCTACCCACTCAGGACACTTGGAATACATTGGACGAGCAGTATGGAGGAATATTGAAACGTTTTTTGTGGACTTTTATGGACCTTTCTGTCTTGGGCAGATATCAAAAAAGTACTCCAGAGTGTTGTTCAGCATGGGGGTGAGTAGAAAATGAAGGCTAATCATGTTTTGGGTGTACTATTCCTTTAAGGTCCACCGGGTTTTCCGATGGGTTTTAAGTTTTTGCAGGACTCTATCTCATACATTCATAAGTTATGAATGATAAAAATATTTTTAAGACACTGTAGTTGAGAATTAAACTCTGTTTGTTTGGGCAGTATCTCATATTAGAGTCCTGCATGGGTCGAGTTTTACCAACCCGCACACGTCCGAACCCGTTAGGATGACTACTGAACCTGACCCGTCACCTGACCCCGCCTTTTTGGAGGGAAGCCCACACTGCCGGCAGGGCTTTAAGCTACAACAAGGGTGACCCCAGTGCCTGATTAATATAACATTTCTGATGTCCATAACAACACACACGCATAAAAGAAAAATCACCAACTACCCGCCCGCACTAAAAAAATATCCGCCCGACCCCCAACCCGTCTATTTTTATTTATGTATTTTTCACCCGCAAAAGAGCATTTTAGCGGGTGACCCGTCGGGGACCCGCGGGTACCCGACCCAGTGCAGGACTCTATCTCATATATTCATAAGTTATAAAAATGTGCCTGTTTTTCCACATTTCACTCTCTTTTAATGATTGTTTGTTGCAGTAATCTTTTTCACCTTGCTGCCCGTGATTAGAAAACATGTATAGATGAGGATCGATAACGTGAAAATCAACACTGAATGAATCGCACTCTGCAAAGTTTTTCTTTTGTGCAGAATCCTTTCAAACTGTCCCTGTTCAATTCCGGCCTGGTTCTTAGGTCGCAAATATCTTTAGGTCTCCAGCAACTAATACTTTACCTCTGTCACGGCTTCCCTCTAAGGTTTTATCTTTTCATTGGCTTTATTCTACACTTTTGAAACTATTCTCCACTAGTCGAGAGAAGGTCACTCTCCTCATGTTTTATCTCCTAAATGAGCAGTTCTCTCAATGTCACACAGCATAGAGAAGAACAGTTTCCCAAATGTCCCCCCATCTTATCCTCTCCATGTGTTACATGAATTTCTCAGGTCATGCAGGTCATTAAATCTTTTACTGCAGCCTCACGTAGCATCATCCCTGTGCATGTCCTGCTAACAATGCCATAATAGCAGCATTTAGCATTAAAGGACAGTGTGTCTCTCTATGTATTTGTCCAATGTCAAAAGCCCCCTCTGTGTGCTAATATTAAAAATTCAATTTCCCATTTAACACTTGATTGGAAAGGAGAATGTGCCCGAACTGGGTAGC